ACATTCTGAGCTTGGATTATATGAGGGGAGTAGTATTCTGAGAGTCAGAGGGGTGTCTTTCAGCTGTCTAGTCATACTTCATTTGGTGGAACGTTCTATACTTACTATGTATGTTAGAGGCTGGGTTTACAGAAGGGAATAGGCAGAGTCCGTTAACTTCAGTCCCTTCACTTGGTGATATGGTGGGTATTTATGGAAGAACAGATATTAAAGAATAAAATAAGAACTTTGTATACCTGTTAAGATTCTTTTGTAGAGGTAGCTGATGTTAGATGCTGGTGGTTTGAACAAGAGTGGTGTTGATGGAAAGGTAACAGGCAACTTGGAGATTTACTCTGTAGACTGATCCAATGGTACTTTGTGATGATTAAATATGGTACAGGAAGAAGAGGGAAGAATCCAGGATGGCTTGATTCTAGGTTGAGCAACTGCTTGGACACAACGTTATGTTCTGAGATATGGTTGGCACAAGGAGAGAAGTAGTTATAATTTCTGCCTCAGACATGACAGATTTGACATATCTGTAAGGCCAATATATGGTGATAGTCTAGTTTGGAGTTTACAGGGAATGTAAAGTATATAAATTATATTTGACATGTCAGGATATCTTTACAGTCTCAATGGTCAACAAGAATTATGATGCAGTGTTCAAGGTCTTTTCAGGAGCAGTATTCCCTTTTCCTATTTCAAATTTTCTCCTACTAGATAATTTCTTTTTTTTTTCTACACAAGTTTTATTTTTATTTTTATTTTATTTTTTTATTGCATTTTAGGTTTTGGGGTACATGTGAAGAACATGCAAGATTGTTGCATAGGTACACACATGGCAGTGTGGTTTTCTGCCTTCCGTCCCCTCGCTTGTATCTGTCATTTCTCCCCATGCTATCTCCCCAGCCCCCGTCCCTCCCCCATTTCCCCCCAACGGACCCCAGTGTGTAGTGCTTCCCTCCCTGTGTCCATCAGAAAAAACATGTTATTTCTCCCTTCTTAAAGACATACACATACAAACAGACAGGCAAATACAAGCTTTTGACTCTACTGTTCCCTTTAGCCAGTGTCAGTGTCCTATTTACTTACTGGCCTTTACTTCCAACCTCTTCAAAAGGAATGAACCATGTTAACAGAATTTAATTCCTCATTCATCTATTCTAAGTCAGTCAAGTAACACTTTGCCTTCCTCTATTCTAGTGAAATTGTTTTTATCAAGTCATTTGATCCTCTGTGATTCCAATAACAAGGTCAACTTGGTTTCCAAATTCTTTGACTCATCAATAGCACTTAGTATAACTTAATAAATTAGTGACAATCTCTTCAATAGGCTATCAAGATAGCACATTGCCTTAAAAATCTTCCTATGTTAATACTTGTTCACTATCAGAGTTATTTGCTGACTTCTCCAAGGGCCCCAACTCCTCTCCTACCCCATTCTTAATGTTGAGATTCAGTTCTAGGTTCTCTTTTCTCTATGAACACTTACTATCTGGGCGATGTTAATCTGTTTTCCACATATATATCACCATCTTCATTTGAATTTCTGATAGAGCTCTCACACTTACCTTGTTCAAAATTGAAGTCTTGACTTCCACCCTCCACACCTTCCCCATCATAGTTGGAAGCAACTCCTTTCTATTAGATGTTTATGCCAAAAATCAGGGTGTCATCTTTGACTCCCTGTTGTCTTACATCCTGTATCTAACCTGTCAAAGACACCACTGACGTTATTTTTGAAATGTTCCCAATCCTATTACTTCCCACCACACACACTGCTACCTTGATCATGAGCCAACTTTCTCCCTTCCCTGGATTCCTGCAATACTCTCCAGACACTTTCCCCCAATTGTACCCTTTCCTCTTTGTGCTGCTCTCCATCACGGATGCCAGAGAAAACTCTGAAAGTATAAGTCTCCTCCTCTCTGCTGAAAACAATGTCTTTGATTCTGAGAGAAATAAGGAACCTTTGCAAAGTCCCACAAAGGCCTGTGAGGCCCTGTGTGATCTGGCCCCACTGCTCTAACCTCTGATTCTCCTGCTCATTTGCTTCATCTTAGCTGGTTGCGTGCTGATCTTTGAATACCAGGTGTTTTAATGTCTTACGGCATTTTGTCTGACTGTTCCATTTTCTTAGAGTGTTCCTCTCCCCCAGGTGACTCCTATATCCCACATCTATTATGGCCACTCCCTGTCCTGTCATCTCCCCTTTTTGTTGTAGCCATTGATGTGGGAACCATTTGAGTGCTGTTGTAGATTGATAGCACCTTACTCAGCTGCATCCCACCCCAGAGTTTCTCTGCTTTATTGCATGGGCACTTCAGGGATCTCATTCAGTTATTCTGGGGCATGTATGGACCTGAAAATGCAAGGAAATCCACACTCCTTGGGTCATCCTTGACCTATCGGATATGGAAGCCAGTGGATAAAGGTTCCCCTTTTCTGTGTCTAGAGTGGACAATTCTTTTGATCATTCTCTATGGTTCTTCATGTGGAATTGGATATAGTGATGACCACATTATCCAACTCAGCAAGGCACCTTTGGATCCACATTCTCTCCTTTCCTGTTTCACTCCATCCTATTCTTGTTCATTGTCTAATTTTTCTATATATACCACTCACCTAGAATTACAGGTTCTGCTTTTTATAGAACCTAAGTATTTCCCCACCTCATTTAATATTTTAGGATTCCTTTTCCAATGAGGCCTGCAATGATCTATTTCAGATTTCAACCTCTCCTACTCCCTGTCATGGAATTCCTATCCTCGTTACCCTTGATTTTTTTTTTTTTTAAATCACAACAGTGAACCTTTGTATATTATGATGTAATTTACTCATGATATCCTTTTATCTTTCTCCAACCTTTAGCAAAATTATTCTAAGGGATACATTTTGTTCATAGTTTTTTTCTTAACTCATTCAGCAAAAATATTTATATTTTACTAAATTTGCGAAATACATTTACTGAATTTTATTGTGAACATGCATTGAACAGAATTAAACCTTGTGATGAAGTAATTCAGCATCCTGAGGTAGGGCTGAAGCAGGAGACAAAGGAGCAGCTTGTTTGATGGGTAATATAAATATTATGGGAGCCAAGAGGAGAGAAGGAGTTTTCAAAGGGTGGTCAATTCAGAAAAAAGCTGCTGAAAGATCAACATGAATGTGACCATGGCCTCATCATATGGAAGTCATTTCTGGCCGAAATTAGAGCTTTTTCAAGTAGGTTAAAATGTGCTAATACTACAGGAAATTTGTGGGAGTTGAATCTGAATATAAACACGCCTAGGTATTTTAATGCAAAGAAGAGCTAAAATTTTAATAGAATATAAAACCATGGAGGACAGGATTATAAAGTGATATTCGACATAGAAACTTTTTTCCCCTCAAGCATCCATTTTCTGTGGAGGGAGAGAGCTAGATGACAAATAAGGATCCATAAACAAAAGACATTTTGTGTATAATTCTAGTCCTCTCTCTACAACCCTGAGACAAAGGTAGGGCAGTGTTATTACCCATTAACAGAAGAACCAGAGGCTTGAAATAAGCCATTTGTCACATCTTCTGGCTATGTTACTTTGCACAATCATGATTTTGGCTAAGGCTTCAGATTATAAATTTTTCCCATACTTTATAAAAAAATGAATTTATTTTAAGTTTTAATATACAAAACATGTGTTCTTTGGGCATTTAGGTAGAAGCAAAAATACATGATTATTTAGAACATTAAATTTGGATAATGCTAGAACTCAAACCTGGCTGATCAACACTATTAACTGTGGTATCTTAGAAATAATTTTCCCAACACTCAATTTTCTCATTAAAAAAAGGTCAATAACGTTTGGTTACTTTGCTTACTGACTGTGCTGTCAATATGCATTATCTATTTCTCACAAGAACTTCATTAAATAAATCCTAACAAGAAGAGTGCCTGAGTAAAAATTGGGCAATTTCAGTGTTTAAGGCTTTTGACAGAAGAAAAAAAAATGAGCAAGAGCATCTAGATATTAAAAGTTAAGCACAAAGATTTTTTGTGTATGTGGAAGCCAGATACTAGTCTTTGTAAAGATGAAAGAGTTCTGTGATGAAAATGAAGGAAATGGAAGATGGGCAGAGGGAGAGCCACATGAATAGGAAAGTTAACATGGGTTTAGATAAAGGAAAACAGAAAGAGAAGGCTCATCTCTTCAGTAAGCTGGAGGTATAGCTGTATTTTCAGAGTTTGTGTTAAAAGAACCTGGAAGATATATTATAGGGCAGTGCCATTTAATGGAGCTTTCTGCAAGGACAGAAATAGTCTTTACCTAAATCGTCCAATATTGTAGCCACTAGTCACATGAGGCTATTGAGCACTTAAATTAGGTCTATTGAGCACTTAAATTTAGAAGCCACTGAACAATTAACTTTGTGTGTGATTGAGGTATGCATTTTTAATGTTGTTTATTTTTGATTAATAGAAATAGCCACATTTGGGCAAGTGGCAATGTTATCAGATAGTATACTTCCAGAAAAGTTAAACAGATTATATGATTAACCGGGGGACCAGAGGTGCAGGGTTCATTTGACTTGTATAGGCACTTAAGCCAGAAAGTTCAACAGAAAATTTACTCACATGATTGGGAGTGTTGTTTGATTGGTAGGTAGAATGGTAACAATGTGTGACCTAAATGAATTGATTTAAACATAGTTTACTTCTTTGATCAAGATAATCCTGTCACCAAGAACACAGAAAACAATACCAGTTCTCCATTCCGTTATGAGAACTGTTTAGGAGTATCAGGTCTATTGACATATATTTAGGTATCAGTAAAGTGAGTTTCTTGTGGGCAGGAACCATAGATTATGCTTCTGCATGTCTATAACAACTTCTGGTGGAATTTTTAAAGGACTAGGAATGGTAGCAGGAGCTTATCATAGCAGGTGATTGGACTCTGTAATCCTAGGTACCCCAGATATGCTTCTGGAAAGGTGAAGGAGCCTGTGAAGATCAATAAGAAAAGTTCCCAGGAGCCATGTCAGCCTCCAATACCACCTCCACACATCCAGCTGCCTTCTTGTTGATGGGGATTCCAGGCCTGGAGCACCTGCACATCTGGATCTCCATCCCCTTCTCCTCAGCATATACACTGGCCCTGCTTGGAAACTGCACCCTCCTTCTCATCATCCAGGCCGATGCAGCCCTCCACGAGCCCATGTACCTCTTTCTGGCCATGTTGGCAGCCATCGACCTGGTCCTTTCCTCCTCAACACTGCCCAAAATGCTTGCCATATTCTGGTTCAGGGATCGGGAGATCAACTTCTTTGCCTGCCTGGTCCAGATGTTCTTCCTTCACTCCTTCTCCATCATGGAGTCAGCAGTGCTGCTGGCCATGGCCTTTGACCGCTATGTGGCCATCTGCAAGCCACTGCACTACACCACGGTCCTGACTGGGTCCCTCATCACCAAAATTGGCATGGCTGCTGTGGCCCGAGCCGTGACCCTGATGACTCCACTCCCCTTCCTGCTGAGAGGCTTCCACTACTGCCGAGGCCCAGTGATTGCCCACTGCTACTGTGAACACATGGCTGTGGTGAGGCTGGCATGTGGGGACACTCGCTTCAACAATATCTATGGTATTGCTGTGGCCATGTTGATTGGAGTGTTGGATCTCTTCTTTATCATCCTATCTTATATCTTTATCCTTCAGACGGTTCTCCAGCTCTCCTCTCAGGAGGCCCGGTACAAAGCATTTGGGACATGTGTGTCTCACATAGGTGCCATCTTAGCCTTCTACACACCTGCAGTCATTTCTTCATTCATGCACCGTGTGGCCCGCCATGCTGCCCCTCATGTCCACATCCTCCTTGCCAATATCTATCTGCTCTTCCCACCCATGATCAATCCCATCATCTATGGTGTTAAGACCAAGCAGATCCGTGACAGAGTCTTAGGAGTATTCCTGAGAAAGGATGTATGAATAGAGTGAGGGAAGAGTGGAGAAAGAGTGGGACACAGTGAATGCTGTAGCCGGCCAGGGCTGTGATGAGAAGTAGGTGGCTGTTGGACTCCATGTTTAGTTCTTTCCTTGTATTGTGAAAAAAATAAATTTTGTCCTAAAACTCAGAGCCGAGTCTGTTTAGAATTTGTAGGTCTTTTTGCTCTGGTAGCCCCCGGGTTGAACTTGGTAACTGTGCCATCTCCTCACAGAGCCTGACTTCAGTAACTTGATAGTCTTGAACAGGGGTCCCCAAACTACGGCCCGCAGGCCACATGCGGCCCCCTGAGGCCATTTATCCGGCCCCGCCACACTTCAGGAAGGGGCATCTCTTTCATTGGTGGTCAGTGAGAGGAGCACAGGATGCGGCGGCGCCGCAAAGCATGGTGTCGCTCACGTACAGTACTACTTCCAGTAATGTGGGACGCACGCGTCATGGCTCCAGAAGCGCGTCGTATGATGCACATCCGGTCTGCGGCTGCGGCGCCCCACATCACTGGAAGCAGTGTGAAATAACAGAAGTAGGAAGAAAGGCAAAGCACTATAACCATTACTACACAGTACAATGGCCCCCATACTTCCCCAAATGTACAACATAATGGCCCCTATGACCTCCCTCTGCCCAAAAGTCTCCCCCAACATTACTACACACCATGTTTCCCCTATTATAAGACTCTGTCTTATATTAATTTTACCCCCACAAGATGGGGGCTGTCTTATTTTTAGGAGGTGTCTTATAATAGGGGAAACATGCAGCAGTGGGCTTCCCACAGAAGAGGCCCACTGCTGCTGCAGATGTCCAGGACGCTGTATACACAGTGTCACAGGCTGATCACCGCCATCCCTGTATACAGCACTGGAGGCGGTGCTGGGCCTGTGACACTATACCACTGTCTGGGATAGAGGCGGCAGCAGCACCGGCTGTGAAGGGTGTCATACCTTGCATAGTCCAGCCCTCCAACGGTCTGAGGGACAGTGAACTGGCCCCCTGTGTAAAAAGTTTAGGGACCCCTGGTCTTGACCCTCTCGCCTCCTGGGGACTTCACTGAAGAACACAAAGATGCTTCCATGTTCATTAGCTTAAGAGAAGGTGGTGAAAATCTGAATTTCTATCTCTGACTCATTGGAAATTTGATGAATTATCTACTCAGATTGCCGAATGAGGACCCCTACTCCATCCAATGCAGGAATTCCTCTTTACTAACAGTTGATGCCCAGACTCTGCCTAAACACTGTGAGTGTTGGTGCACTTGCATCCTCCAGGTCTATTTATTCCAAGTGAGACAACTCTGCTTGTTAGAAAGTTATTTCTTCAACTAAACCAGTCTGTATTCTTTGACTTTTTACCTCTTCATCCTCATGACCAATCCATCTCATTAAATACTTTGAAGAATAACCATATGCTCTGCCATTTTATATCACACAACTCTTAGTGCACAGATGTCTTATGTTTTCAACAAGAATGTGAATTGCTCACTTATTTAATAATCTAGCCAAGTGTATGCTATTGGCTAGGGACACGGACTGTTAAGAAATGGATGCTGGACTTATGTTTATGTCCTCAGACAGCAGATGGAATAATTCCAATGGTTTGTGTTCTCTAAACTCACCATCCAAGACCCTGCATTGAAGAAATACGAGAAGGCAAAGATGATGAGATGTGGGCATATTGACTTAGGTTTTCATGCAAACTTAGGTACTCAAGAATTCCCTTAATGTTAATCCTGAGAACTGCACCTCTGATGCTCCCTCAGATCCTGTATCTTATGAGTTGAATTTTGTTCCCCTTTCCAACTTGTGTTGAAATTCTATCACCCACACTTCAGAATGTGACTGTATTTGGGGATAAGGTCTTTAAAGTGATAGTTAAAATGAGGTGATTAAAATGAGATAATAGGCCTTAATCCAATATGACTGGTGTCTTTGTAAGAGAAAATTTGTACACAGACACAGGAAGAGTGAAGACCATGTAAAGATACAGAAAGATGGCTGTGCACAAGCCAAGAAGAGAGGACTCAGTAGCAATCAAATCTGCTTGGTTACACTTGGACTTCCATCTTCCAGAATTGTGAAGAAATAAATTTGTTAGACCATCCAGTTTGTATTACCTCTTACAGAAGCCCTAGAAAACTACTTTTGGTACCAGGAAGTAGGGTGCTACAGTAACTAATATCTAAAAATGTGAAAGTTGTTTGGAAACTGAGTAATGGGTTCAAGCTGAAAAAATTTTGAGGAGCATGTTAAAAAAGGCTAAGATTTCTTTGGAGAAATTATAGTTAGAAATATGAATATTAAAGATGCTTCTAGTGAGGTCTCAGGAAGGAAGAGATGGAAGAAAGATGATCTGTGTTATCAAATGAAAAAGAATTGGACAAATTGTGTTCTAGTGCTTTGTGAAAAGTAGAACTTTTAAGTAATGAACTTGGATATTTAGCTGAGGAAATTTCTGAGCAAAATGCTGAAACTGAAATTGTGGCCTGGTATGTTCTTATTGCTTATAAGAAGATGAGAGAGGAGAGAGAGAAGTTGGAGAAGAATTTAAGCAAAAAGGAATCAGGAATTAAAGATTTGAAAAATTCTCAGCATATTCATAGTGCAATAAATAAGTGTAATTTGGAAAGAATATCAAGGGTTTGGCTGGACAACCATTTTCTAAAAGGATTAGATATATTAAATGAAATAAACCAGCACAGAATGACAAATGCTACATGGTCCCACTCATACATGGGAGCTAAAAAAGTCGATCTCATCGAAGTAGAGACTAGAATAGTGGTTACTAGAGGCTGGGAAGTGTAGCAGGAGGAGAGTATAGGGAGGAGTTGGTTAATGGGTACAAAATTGCACTTAGGTAGGAGGAGTAAGTTCTAGTATTCTAAAACATACTAGAATGACTATAGTTAATAATTTTAAATTTCAAACTAGCCAGAAGAGTGGATTTTGAATGTTCAACACAATGAAATGATAAATATTTGAGGTGATAAATTATCTCAAATTGATTACCCTGATTTGATCATTACCAGTTGTATACATGCATGGAAATATTGCATGTACCCCCAAACTTGTACAATATGTGCCAATTAAATTTTTTTTTAAAAAAGGATTAGGCATATGTTTATTGATCCAGTCAGTCATCTCAGAAGCCAGGAATAGAGATGGGGCTATGCAGGAAAGACTCTTTGGAATCCCTTTTATCTGACAGTTTGAAGTCCATGAATTGTATCAGAGACCAACATGTTTGAGAATATTATTAGCAGCAGAAATGAACAGAGACAGGATAACAAGAAAGAAGATAGTTGGACTTCTGGGATTCTAGAGGATGGGCCAATAGAGCTATTTATCTGCAAACGTATTATCCTTCAAGAAAAGGGAAAAAACATCCTGAGGTAGTTCAGAGGTTGGCAGCACTACCACTGCCACCTCATGCCCAAAATACAGACCCAGGAGGTTAGGTTGCCTCTTCCTTGATTTCAGAGGGAAGGGCCTGCCCATTGGTTTCAGAAGGCCAGGGTGCCTCTAATCCAGGACTGAGGGGTTGGGAATGCCGCCCATTGAGTCAAAGAGGATTATCCTGAGCCTTAAATCGAGTGTAATTTTGCCCTGCTAGGTTTTAGACTTATTTGTGAGTCATGACACCTTTATTCTGATTTCTCCACTTTGGAATGGGAATGTCTACCCTAGTGCCTGTTCTACCATTATATTTTGGTTGTAGGTAGCTTGTCTGGTTTCAAAGGTTTATAGCTGGAGGGAAATTTTGCCTCAGGATGGAGTCATACCTGAGTGTCACAAATAAATGATTTAGATATTACCTTTAGATGAGATTTTGGATTTACAGTTAACCCTGGAATGGGGAGGGGGATGCTTATATTTTGCATGTAAGAAGGATGAGACTTTAGGGAGCCAAAAGGCAGGATGTTAGAACTGAATTGTGTCCCCTTCCTGTAAACTCATATATTGAAGTCCTAACCCCTAGTATCTCAGAATAATATGACTACATTTGAAGATAAGGTCTTCAAAGAGGTTAAGTTAAAATGAAGTTATTGAGATGGGACCCAATCTAATACAACAGGTGTCCATACAAGAAAAGACATAAGGAGAAGACAATGTCCAAGCCAAGGAGAGTGGCTTTAAAAGAAATCAACCATGCCACACCTTAACTTGAACATGTAGCTTCTAGAATTGAGAAAATAAGTTTCTGTATTGAAACCAGTCTTTGGTACTTTGTTATTACAGCCTAGAAAATGAGTGTATTTTCATACATCATCTTCCACAAATGCATTCTTGTCCTTCAGAGATTACTGATTAGGAAGTACCTCTATCTTTCTCTCTCTCTATATATATTATTTATCTGTGAAACAATCTCCAAGCATTCGTCCGTTGTGTCATAGAAGGCTGTAAGCTGTGCAGGAGACAACGGTATAACAAGAACCTACACTCTTGCTTCACCTTATATTCCATCTCTCTCTCATAAATCCCTCTGACACAAAGAGTTCCCTATGTAGTCAGCACCTCTTGATTATTTCTTCTGAGAATAGTTGGGGCAGGTGGGAAAATAAAAAATAACACTAAGTTGTAACCACAAAAAAACAAACATAGAAAATAGCATGAATTAACGAAGTTATTTCCAACAAGAGAAATCTTATTCTCCTCTTGACTTACACAAGAAATAAAATCATTCTTCAGGTCATATCTATTCCCAGTAAAGAAATAATTTTTTTCCCAGCCCAAGTCCAGTAGTACAAGGATCCCATAGACAGGTAATATATTAATATTAGCACAACAGGATTAGTCACAAATAGTAAAAGGAAAATTACCTTCTGTATTAGCTTATTTGGGTTTAGCACACAGTCAAAACATAAGAAATATGAGTAGCCTACAGGCACATATAATTTTATCCCCATACACAGAATGCATGGTCAGGATAAAGGAAACTTGATGCAGTCATCTGGACCTAGATGCAATACTTCTAATCACTCAAAAACTAGGTCATCCCAACATCCCAAGCAAAGATCCAGAGCTACATGTCATCCTTAAAGTGGATCAATGCTTGAGTATAGGATCCTGTTCTGCCTAGCAACACTCTCAACACCTTCTTCCCACCTACGTGTTCCTCAAGCCAGAAGTCTTGGTCTT